ATAACTCCCTTGACTGAACTTCAGAGGGCGATTAATAATTTCACTTGCTAGAACTTTATTGTTAGATACCAGACAGACTGTTCCAAACAAGTCTTATTTTCCTTGCTTTAGTTCTTTCGTTCTAGCCACTCCGTAACATCAATTCCTATGATTCAATACAACTTGAAGTGAACAAAGAGAGGCAGAGGAAAACACCTGCAAGAAAGCCTCGGCTGCCGAGGGGAAAGAAACGCAGTACGTTCACTATTTTATGGTTGGTCGCGACTAGCCTTCTACCGTAAACTCTTTGACAATCAAAGATGTTAAAATGTCGTTCCAGTCACTGAACTGTTATTACTCAAATACAATACAACCATTTTTTTTTGAAAGTAGTGACAATCTAAACATCGCAGCTGGTCAAGAGTTTTGTATGTTGCTTTGTAACCTTTTCTAATCATCAAAGCTCATTGACTACAATAGCATTGAATCTTGAGCCCATGCTAATCAATATTAGCTTTTGTCCCGTCAAATCATATGATTAATTTTATGCAATACTTTTTTTGAACGTATAGATACCTCAGTCAAGCACTGGCCGTGCGATAGAATGCAGTAGTGAGTATTTTAGATGATGAAGAAGAAGATATGGAAGATCCCGAATTGAAAATGTCAGAGAGAATGGTGGATAGAATAGCGGCACTTAACGACGGAAAAAGGACGAAAATTCTAATATCCAACTGTTTTGAAGATCGAACAGCACTTGATTGTATTGATGTATGCCTACGGGAATCGGAAAACATGCAGGTTTATTTTTTTGGTGTACTGTTCGCCAATTCTTTAGAAGTCAGCCTTTTGTCTTCTTAGCATTCTCTTCAATTTCCAAATTATCGTGCAAAAATCTTTGTTTTGGAAGAACTGAATAGGAAGGGGTATATGTGACCGATCGAACTTATGTATTTACATATGTTTTGAGTTTTTTGTTGGCCTAGGCTACCTCTTTGATTTCTGGTCTTATCGATAAACCTTCCTCAAACTTCTTACATCAACATAGTGCTTGCATTTTTAACGCCTTTTTGGTAGTATACTTAGTTTCAGGTGTTGTTATTGTTCATCTTCTTCTTATTTCCACTTATTCAAGGAAGATGCTGTAGCTTTGGCAATTGCGACGACTGTTTACAGCCTTCGAGTGGACCGCACACACAACGATGCTCAGGAAACTCGCTACACATTCATCCGTGGTAAAAGTGATGCTGAGAAAGGTAGTGGACCCGCAACACGCGTTTCAGCTATACCATCTACCGTATGAAACAGAACAACTTTTCCCTTTGCATATCTGCTCTGGGGATTGCAGCAGTTTTGGTGTTCAAGTATCATATAGTTACCTTTGCTCCATGGCATGTGGAAAGGGTTCCATCTTTTTATGGAATTATTGCAAAAATCTTACTTGGTTCGTTAAATACGGCAGATGGTAGATTAGCTGCACCCTCCCCCTTTATATGTCATTGATTGCTTCTTACTGTGAATGTGTT